ACCATACACAAACGCCAACCCCACCCCAAACTCCAACCCAGTACCCAAACCCAAACCCAAACTCAAACTCAATGCCCAAACTCAAACCCAAACTCAATACCCAAACTCAAACCCAAACTCAAACTCAATACCCAAACCCAAACTCAAACTCAAACTCAATACCCAAACCCAAACTCCAAACCCAAACTCAATACCCAAACCCAAACTCCCAAATAGTTTGGGTTTGAGTTTGGGTTTGGTGCATGTCTACTGCCGAATAATTGCCCGGGAATCTGAACTCTTTTCAAAAAAAATCCTAATTCCAATTTTCTAGTGTTGTATTGAATTTTCATGGAAATCCTCCTTAAGTATATTCAAAAGACCAAATGTCTTTCATTATCATTAAGATCATTCATTCGAGTACATAGATTTATATTGGCGATGCCATTTAACGAAAATGAAGATCCCATTGAAGGAGAAATCGATGCCTTAGCACAGGTAAGTCTTATAATCTTGTAATGATTATAAAAATATTAAAGTATTACGTGTAGGTGAATATTTCGGTGTCAAAGATTTGTTTTTAAATCAAAATCAACATGGTTGTGAGGGTGTGGCTCAGAGACGAAAAGATGGAACTGTGTCTGAAAAATGGAAGGGTGATATTTATTGCCAAAAACATCCGGGCTTAAACATCACAATGAACAAAGAAAGATGACAACACAAAATGATGACGACATGATGTCATAAAAATGACCAAAGTGTGTCGCCATATGTTCACGTATGCAAAGAGAACAGAAAACATATGTGAGCATATACGAAAAGGAAATGTGAAGAACGCAACAGAACGAGATGTATGATGCTAACTAGAGGATGGCATATATACCTCATCCTCTAACAACGGTCTTTCGGTACAAGCATTACAAGATAAAAATTTGTATTATATGAATGGTGACAAATTTGAAAAGTATCCTGTACCAATTTTAGTCATATTCAAGTTTATCCGTGAACAATACGAATTATAGTTGGATTCGATGTAATTTCAACATGTTATTCAAAATCATCATCTCATTTTATATTTAAAAAAAAATGTTTTTCGAAATAATAAACTCCTTTCGGTACACGAAGAAATTTTCTTTTTCGAATCATTTCGCCGTATATTTAATTCAGATTGATCTTTTCAATACTCATTCTTATGTTTGACATAGTCAGTTAGTGGAAAAAATTGTTGAATCGTATGTATAATTTCATAAGAAGGTTCTGATGTTCGTAGTTCTCCAATTCGTAAGCAATTATCTCTTGCTTGTGGATGATTTTGTTGCACTATCGTTAATAAGATATGTTTTTTAATAGCAAGTTTCACTAGAGACGAAAGATGAATTTGACAAAGAAATTTTTCAGCATAATCCATATGAATATCATATAAAATAAGTGTAGTTAAATGATGAAAACCAACGAGATTGATGTTCAATGTGATTTCTTTCGCTTTCTGTTCTTGTTCGAGTTCGTTGATTATTTCCAATATTTTCAGTCGAGGTAAAGTATGAGCAAGGTGTTGAGAGAAAATCTTTTGGAATGGTAACACATCATCAAAAAGTACCCAGGTCGAACAATTCCATACTCGGATCCCATGTCGGATCGGAAACATGGATTTCCCGGATTTTCTAAGGGTCATCACAGAACATAACTAAAAACATCGTTCATAAAATTTACAACAACCGACGGGATTTTTTGACCTGGCTAGCGTAAGCGAAATATTTTTTTCGTCCAACCCGTTCTTTTTTATAAATAAACTGCAATGATATTTTCTCTTGCTATTTGTATGATGCAATAACATTAATTGATAAAATAAAATATGAAAAAAAAAGCGTTTAGTTTCTTTTTTTCTAATTACTCCTACATATCAATGAATAAGTACATGGGTTATTATCAAATAATTTCTTCTTACACAATTCATATGAAATTCTCAATAATAATTTCAAAACACCTACACTTTTGCCACAAAAATGACGATAGATATATCTATCCATATGCAAAGCATGCGTAGTAGCAATTTTATGCTTCAAAACTTCTACAACTATTAAACTATATATATTAGGTTACATCTGAATACACTTTCATTCATTCATTCATTCATATACGAATATTAACCACATCAAATAAGATCAATATGGCTTTTGCTCCAAGTGTCAATCCTTGTTGTCCTCCTGCTGCTCCTCTTCGCGTACCAATACCACAAACACAACAGCCCGTGTGTGTTCCAGTGTGTTGTTGTGTTGAACGCATCTGCTGTGATCCGTGTTTAGGACCACGTCGTGTTGCTCAATATTATCAAACGATGGTTCGAATACGATAAATATTCAATTTTTTATAGTTGAATTTATTTCTTCTTATTATAATAAACAAGATTTAATTAATTCAATTATCTCTTATTCTCTCGACTGTAGAGAGGGTGGGGTGTGGGTGTGAGGGTGGGTGGATTCTTTAATGGTTCGAATCGATAGAGCTCATCGACTTGTGTCTGGAACAAGTGTTGGAATGATAGTAGGAAGCGAAGAAACGAATTCGTGCTGGTTTCTTTTCAAATTTTCATGTTTTTTTTAGGTTTTCTTACGATTTTTTGCATGTTTTATGGGTAAGGAAGGATATTTCCGGGAATATTTTCTGGAGTAGATCGAGCTCATCGAGTTTTACTTGGAACAAATGGGATCGGAGTTGGAATACACTCGTGTGCGAATTCGTTCCAGAAAAACTCGAATCCGTGTTCAACATATCCTACATACTATATACACAGTTTTGGATAAATTTTATGCCTAATCTACTCAGAAAGAATGGCCTGATTAACTTATCACTCTCAAATACAATCAACGATTTGTTGGAGATCACCCAATGAGAGTATAATAGTCTCGGTCACATAGGATTTTAGGCGGCATAAGCTTGAGATCTTTCAATAAATAGTAACTGAGAAAGATTTCAAATATCTTGAATCGTACGCTTGGCGGTGTGCTATATTCGTCCTTACCAGATGGTGTTCGTGCTCCAGATATAACGATCATAGTAACAGTTCGCACAGCTGCTTCCAAAGTATTGTTCTGATTCACTTCGTTATTGAACAATTGATATTCGTCTCCAAGTCATAACTACTATGGAAATTAAAAAAAAGGCTGGTGGAAGAACATTTTATAGTTTTTGATTGGAAAGTTATTTCGATCTGAGGTTTTCACCATTCAATATAAGGGAACCGGGAGCACATACCTTTGTGGAAAAATGGTCATTCAAAGTACCTTATCAGGTGAGCTCTCGCCGACGAAGTTAAGCATGTATTAGCGAAGCTTTTTTTGTGATATAGGTGTCTCGACATCCCCACTTCCCATTGATATCGAAGGAATTTTCTGCCTTTCTTTACTACAAATACTGAAAATGTTTTAACGGTGAAATTACATGTAGGACACTCTTGCTAAAAAACGAAAATTTATTGAAAATATCTGCAGAATACAACTTTTTTGTTATAGTAATCAGTACTAAAGGATTCATTTTTTAATATTATCGTATTTTTACGTTTAGCTCATTAATGCAGACATGCAAAAACGCTGATATTCAAAATCTTTTACGAAAGAGAAGCTATTTTTTCTGAGTTAGATTGATATAATTATTTTTCTCGTAAAATTCCATTAAGACAATAGGAATTTTGTTGTTCTTACGGAGAAAATCATCGAATTTAAATGAATATAAATAGCAAAAGAACTGATGTTCTGCTTTATTCCTCATCATCTGAATCTGTTTCTTCACTATCAGATTGTAAATATTGTTCGATATCTTTCTTCATTATTGCATCGGCTGTTTGATACATTTCTTCAATTCCACGAGCATAATGAAAATACAACATTGCGCGTTCATCGTCCATTGCTACCATAAATTGCTCAATCAATAGNGGTGTGGCCCGGAGACGAAAAGATGGAACTGTGTCTGAAAAATGGAAGGGTGATATTTATTGCCAAAAACATCCGGGCTTAAATATCACAATGAACAAAGAAAGATGACAACACAAAATGATGATGACATGATGTCATAAAAATGATCAAAGTGTGTCGCCATATGTTCACATATGGAAAAACAACAGAAAACACATGTGAGCATATACAAAAAGGTAATGTGAAGAACGCAACAGAACGAGATGTATGATGCTAACTAGAGGATGACATATATACCTCATCCTCTAACAACGGTCTTTCGGTAAAAGCATTACAAGATACAAATTTGTATTATATGAATGGTGACAAATTTGAAAAGTATCCTGTACCAATTTTAGTCATATTCAAGTTTATCCGTGAACAATACGAATTATTGTTGAATTCGATGTAATTTCAACATGTTATTCAAAATCATCATCTCATTTTATATTTTAAAAAAATGTTTTTCGAAATAATAAACTCCTTTCGGCACAAGAAGAAATTTTCTTTTTCGAATCATTTCGCCGTATATTTAATTCAGATTGATCTTTTCAATACTCATTCTTATGTTTGACATAGTCAGCTAGTGGAAAAAATTGTTGAATCGTATGTATAATTTCATAAGAAGGTTCTGATGTTCGTAGTTTTCCAATTCGTAAGCAATTATCTCTTGCTTGTGGATGATTTTGTTGCACTATCGTTAATAAGATATGTTTTTTAATAGCAAGTTTCACTAGAGACGAAAGATGAATTTGACAAAGAAATTGTTCAGCATAATCCATATGAATATCATATAAAATAAGTGTAGTTAAATGATGAAAACCAACGAGATTGATGTTCAATGTAATTTCTTTCGCTTTCTGTTCTTGTTCGAGTTCGTTGATTATTTCCAATATTTTCAATCGAGGTAAAACATGAGCAAGGTGTTGAGAGAAAATTTTTTGGAATGGTAACACATCATCAAAAAGTAGCCAGGTCGAACAATCCCATACTCGGATCCCATGTCGGATCCGAAACATGGATTTCCCGGATTTTCTAAGGGTCATTACAGAACATAACTAAAAACATTGTTCATAAAATTTACAACAACCGACGGGATTTTTTGACCTGGCTAGCGTAAGCGAAATATTTTTTTCGTCCAACCCGTTCTTTTTTATAAATAGACTGCAATGATATTTTCTCTTGCTATTCTATGATGCAATAACATTGATTGATAAAATAAAATATGACATAAAAAATAAAATGCGTTCAGTTTCTTTTTTTCTAATTACTCCTACACATTAACGAATAAGTACATGGGTTATTATCAAATAATTTCTTCTTACACAATTCATATGAAATTCTCAATAATAATTTCAAAACACCTACACTTTTGCCACAAAAAATGACGATAGATATATCGATCTATGTACAAAGCATGCGTAGTAGCAATTTTATGCTTCAAAACTTCTACAACTATTAAACTATATATATTAGGTTACATCTGAATATACTTTCATTCATTCATTCATTCATTCATTCATATACGAATATTAACCAAATCAAATAAGATCAATATGGCTTTTGCTCCAAGTGTCAATCCGTGTTGTCCTCCCGCTGCTCCTCTTCGCGTACCAATACCACAAACACAACAGCCTGTGTGTGTTCCAGTGTGTTGTTGTGTTGAACGCATCTGCTGTGATCCGTGTTTAGGACCACGTCGTGTTGCTCAATATTATCAAACGATGGTTCGAATACGATAAATATTCAATTTTTTAGTCGAATTTATTTCTTCTTATTATAATAAACAAGATTTAATTAATTCAGTTGTCTCTTATTCTCTCAACTGTAGAGAGGGTGGGGTGTGGGTGTGAGGGTGGGCGAATTTTTTTAATGATTCGAATCGATAGAGCTCATCGACTTGTGTCTGGAACAAGTGTTGGAATGATAGTTGGAAGTGAAGAAACGAATACGTGCTGGTTTCTTTTCAAATTTTCATGTTTTTTTTAGGTTTTTACGATTTTTTGCATGTTTTATGGATAAGGAAGGATATTTCTGGAGATATTTTTTTTGAGTAGATCGAGCTCATCGAGTTTTACTTGGAACAAATGGGATCAGAGTTGGAATACACTCGTGTGCGAATTCGTTCCAGAAAAACTCGAATCCGTGTCCAACATATCCTACATACTATATACACATTTTTGAATAAATTTTATGCCTAATCTATTCAGAAAGAATGGCCTGATTAACTTATCACTCTCAAATACAATCAACGATTTGTCGGAGATCACCCAATGAGAGTATAATAGTCTCGGTCACATAAGATTTTAGGCGGCATAAGCTTGAGATCTTTCAATAAATAGTAATTGAGAAAGATTTTCAAATATCTTGAATCGTACACTTGGCGGTGTGCTATATTAATTCTTACCAGACGGTGTTCGTGCTCCAGATATGACGATCATAGTAACAGTTCGCACAGCTGCTTCCAAAGTATTGTTCTGACTCACTTCGTTATTGAACAATTGATAGATAGAAGATGATTGGCGAAAACTAATAGCTTCGCATTGAGTTCGTTTAAAACAATCATTAAGAATGACTTAGAATCTTGTGTGACTGATTGAACAAGAGGAATAATTGAAAATAATATTGATATTCGTCTCCAAGTCATAACTACTATCGAAATAAAAAAAAAGGCAGGTGGAAGAACATTTATAGTTTTTGATTGGAAAGTTATTTCGATCTGAGGTTTTCCCTATTCAATAGAAGGGAACCGGGGGCACATACCTTTGTGGAAAAATGGTCACTCAAAGTACCTTATCAGGTGAGCTCTCGCCGACGAAGTTAAGCATGCGTTAGCGAAGCTTTTTTAGAACTTTTTTTT